CGGCTCCAAAAGTGAGACGCCGACCCTACAGTTCTCACGACCCAAAGGCACAAGCCAGCAATGTCGGTTCTAAAAGTGAGACGCCAACCCTACAGTTCGCACGACCCAAAGGCACAAGCCAGCAATGTCGGTTCCAAAAGTGAGACGCCGACTCTACAGTTCTCACGACCCAAAGGCACAAGCCAGCAATGTCGGTTCTAAAAGTGACACGCCAACCCTACAGTTTGCACGACCCAAAGGCACCACAAGCCAGCAATGTCGGTTCTAAAAGTGACACGCCGATCCTACAGTTTGCACGACCCAAAGGCACCACAAGCCAGCAATGTCGGTTTCAAAAGTGAGAAGGAAACGGCTAATGGGCAGGTGTGTCCTGCTAGCTACTTCCCGACATCCAGGTCAGGGCAGCTGGAACTCGGGGAAGGGGGGGGGAAACACCCCTGCCTACATTTACACATCAGACGTAGAGGGCAGGGACTCGTCAAGCGTCGTCGGAACTTCGTTAACACGGATTAGCGCTAACCTTGGTTCGTCTGTTCTTGGGCTGGCCTCTTGCTTGCGCAACCGGAAAAAAAGGAGGACTCCGAGTTTGTAAATCCGGGGACTAAACGCAGACCCCCACTCCCCTTCTTCCCCCCCCCCCGGCTCCTTATTCTCCTATAAACGCTGGGAATACAAAATTCTCCACCTGGCTACTCCAGTGCTCGTTAATTCGAATTAAGCAGGTTCCCGACTGCGCGTCACCGTCCCAGCCGTTACTTTGCTCGGAGCGAGACCCGGCCACGTGCAATCTTTCCCGGGGGGGGGGGAAGAGAAAGAGGGAGAGGGGGTTTGTGGGAAAAGAGGGCGGGGCCTATCTGCATTGACTCCGCCTCCCGAAGCGGGGCTGGGTTTTTCTCCCCGTGGAACCGCTGGAACCGCTGCTGGACGGCTGGCACTTTCTACACTCCAGAAAGACCTCCCCCCCCCTCCAGGGGAAGCCCCTGTTTTTCTCTCAGCCCCAGTTGCACAACCGCCTCTTCTCTTCCCCCCCCCTCCCTTGCTCCCGGGTGCCTGCGACACGCAGAAACCCCCCCCCCGTCTTAAGGGCGAGGGGAGGGGGTGTTTCAAGGAATTTTGGCGCGCCCTACGGACTACGCGCGTAAAGAGAGAAGCCACCTTGGAATTCAGGAGAAAGCTCCTAACACGGAGGACAATTCACCAGGGGAACGGCTTGCCACCAGACGTTGTGGGAGTTCCATCACTGGAGGTTTTTAAGAGGAGACTGGACAGTCAGTTGTGTGAAATGGTTTAGGTCAGTGTTTCTCAACCTTGACCATTTTAAGGCATGTGGACTTCAACTCCCAGAATTCCACAGCCAGCATTGCTGGCTGTGGAATTCTGGGAGTTGAAGTCCACATGCCTTAAAATGGTCAAGGTTGAGAAACACTGGTTTAGGTTCTCCTGCTTGAGCAGGGGGCTGGACTAGAAGACCTCCAAGGTCCCTTCCAGTTCTATTCTGTTCTGTTCTATTCTGTTCCATTCCATTCCATATTCTATTCTATTCTATTCTATTCTATTCTGTTCTGTTCTGTATTCTATTCTATTTTCTATTCTATATTCTATTCTCTATTCTATTATATGCTATTCCATATTCTATTCTATTCTATATTCTATTCTATTCTAGATTCTATTCTCTATTCTATTATTTGCTATTCCATATTCTATTCTATTCTGTTCTGTTCTGTTCTGTTTTCTATTCTGTTCTATTTTCTGCTCTATTTTCTATTCTATTTTATTCTATTCTATTTTCTATTCAATTCTATTTTCTATTCTTTTCTATTCTATTTTCTATTCTATTCTATTCTGTTTCCTATTCTATTTTCTGTTCTGTTCCATTTTCTATTCTATTTTCTATTCTATTCTATTCTATTCTCAAAACTGGGAGGCTTGGCGACTGACCCCCACTTATGAAGGTCGCAGCGTCCCCGGGTCCTGGATCCCCTTTTGGGATCCTCTGACAAGCAAAGTCAATAGGAAACCACGGTTGCCTTTAACAACAAAAATGTTGGGCTCAGTTGGGGGTCATCCATCAAGGACTATCTGTCTAAATCCGTATATCTATATACACACATACACGTATGCGTGTGTGTGTATCTCTCTCTCTCTCTCTCTCTCTCTCTCTATATATATATATATATATATATATATATATATATATCCATATCCATATATATGGATATATATACACACACAAATATCCATATATACATATACACACATTTTTTTAAAAAATTGTTTTATTATACATATATATACATATATACAGATACATACATATATACACACACACATACATATATACATATATACATATACATATATATACGCACACACACATATATACCTATATATATAGACATAGACACACACACACATACACATATACAAACTCGGAGAGTACTTACTCAGGAGGAGGCTCCCGCCCAGTCCAATCACACACACACACACACACACACACACACACACACACACATATATGTAGGTCTTTGGTTATTCGGGTTTTCTCCAGCGTCAAATTAGAAGTGTCTTGGCGACGTTTCCACGAAGTCTCATTCTCATCTTCTGGCTGGTGTTTTCGGCTTCGTGCTTCTAGGAGCACGAAGCCGGAAAACACCAGCCTGAAGATGACGAATGAGACTACACATATACACATACACGTCTGTGTGTCTGTGTGTATGTGTGACTGGGCTGAGCGGGAGCCTTCTCCTGACTAAGTACTCCCCGAGTTTGTTACTTTAATTACCGACTTGTTACCCAGACCACAACGGGCGGTAATGAACCTAAAGCAGCTAATTAGCCGCCCGTTTTTCTCTCTCTAGGACCGGCCGGGCGGGCGGGGAAGGGAGCCCGGGCGAGCAGGCGCTGAGAATTCCCGTCGCTCCTCCGTCCGGCCGCGGAGGAGACAAATCATCCGGGAAGGAAATACTAGCCAAACAACGAGAAGACGAACCTCGGGCCGAGGAAACGAACGGAACCATCCGCTGCTGCGCAAAGACGCAGCGCCCGAGCGCGCCGGCCGAAGCCTCGGAGAGCCGGGCTTTTAACTGGACGCGTGTTCGTCGAGGGGAAACCTCGGAGAAGTCGTGGGCAAGGGGTGTAGAAGCGGGGCCCGGGGCAAGCTTTGGGGAGCCCCCCTCTCCCTCTGACTGGAGACGGAACGGGCTGGTTTGCGGGAATCTCCATAACGGGGTAGCAAATACAAAAGAAGCCAGGCGCGTTAAGAACCGGAGCGCTCTCGGAGGGGGCTGAAATCTACCCCGGATAAACCCCGGCAGATCCTTCGGGACGAGGTGAAAGGGAAACTTGCGCGCACAAGGACCTTTCCAAGGGAAGGAAACGAAGTCAAACGCAGCCGACGCTGCTGCTGCTGCTGCTATTATTATGGTTACTATTATTATTAATAATTTTGAAGCTTTGCGCGCGGGGGTGGAGGCGTTTAATGCAATGGTTGCCCGGCCTTGGGGCGCACTGGATTTCTTCCCCGGAGGGAACCCCGCGAAGGACGCGCCGCCGGACCGAAGGGCGCGGCGAGGCAGCAACCCAAGGGTTGGGTTTGGGTTCGAAACCCCGGCGCCGCGCTCCTACTTCGCCGCCTTTCCTATCTCCGCGGCGCGGGCTGGCCTGGCCTTCCGCCCCCCCTCGTCCCGGGCCCTTTCCGAGGGTGCCCACCTCTTGCTGGCGTCTCGGCCCTTTATAAGGTTTCACGCCCTTCGGGGGGGTCTTTTGGCCGGGCAATTGGGCGTTAACGCGTTTACAAAACGAGTTTCCACGAGGACATCAAGGGGGGGGGATCGCCTTCCTCCACTGCCGCGGAGAGGGGGAAAAGGGGGGGGGAAGAGAAGGACTGGGAGATTTTACACCACCCCCCTCCTTGGAAGGGGGGGGGAAGAGGAAAAGAAAGCCCTGTTTGGACCCGGGGTGCAGATCCCTCTCCTCCTGACCCCGTTCTTCTCGCCAGGGGGAGGTTCCGCGTGTCCGTGTGAACGCGCGCGGGCTTTGCGCTTCGGCGGTGCGCGTCTTCTGCGCGTAAGGGCTTTCCAAGCTGGTGTGTGTGTGTGTGTGTGTGTGTGTGTAAATCGTCACCCCGCTTTTTCTTCGTGCCCAAGAAGGCGGATTGAATTAAGCCTGTCTTCTGCGTGTAAGGGCTTTCCAAGCTGGGGTGTGTGGTTGTGTGTGTGTGTGGAAATCGTCACCCCGCTTTTTCTTCGTGCCCAAGGAGGCGGATTGAATTAAGCCTGCGTGTAAGGGCTTTCCAAGCTGGGGTGTGTGGGGGGGGTGGAAATCGTCACCCCGCTTTTTCTTCGTGCCCAAGAAGGCTGATTGAATTAAAAGACCGGAGCGTCGGGGGGGGGGGGAGGAAGGAAAGAGGGCGGGGCAGGGACGTCTAACGGGGGTGGGGAGAGAAAGAAGCTGAAAGTCTAATTAGAGATGCAGGAATCAGCCGGAGGGAAACGGGGGGGGGGGGAGAGAGAGGATGAGGCAGTACGGGAGCGCGCCGTCTCCACCTCGCGCGCTCCCGCCCTCCTCCTCCTCCTCCTCCTCCTCCTGCGCTCTCCCCTCGCTCCCCCTCCCTCCCCGCGGCCTCCCGCCCCCCCCCCCGCCAGTCCAATAGACTGATGAGTTATTGTCATGTAAAAAGCGGCAGCGTTCAGACCCACCGCTTCGCTATTGTCCAAGAGGAAAGAGCCAAGTTTATTATGAGGACTATATGCTCTAGAGACCTCGGGCTAGGCAGCTCCTAGCAGCAGCCCTTTTTTCATAAAACCAGGCTCGGCTGCTAGCTGGGAGGCCACTCTGGAAGCGAGAGCCGAGCGGTGAGCATCTCTGGCCGGCCTCGGCTCTCTCACCCCCCCACCCCACCTTCCCCACCTCGGCCCTCGCGGCTCCGCCAGCCCGAGCCCAGCCCAGCCCAGCCCAGCCTTCCCAGACCCCCTCGGCTGGGCCAGCTCCGAGCCTTTTCAATGTATAAAATGGAATATTCCTACCTCAATTCCTCCGCCTACGAGTCGTGCATGGCCGGCATGGACACGTCCAGCCTGGCCTCGGCTTACGCGGACTTCAGCTCCTGCAGCCAAGCCAGCGGCTTCCAGTATAACCCCATCCGGACCACTTTTGGAGCCACCTCGGGCTGCCCGTCGCTCACGCCCGGATCCTGCAGCCTGGGGACCCTCAGGGACCACCAGAGCAGCCCCTACGCGGCAGGTAAGCCCCGCGCCTTGCTGGCACCGCTGGGGAAGGAAGAGAGGAAGAGAGGAAGGAAGGAAGGAAGGAAGGAAGGAAGGAAGGAAGGAAGGAAGGAAGGAAGGAAGGAAGGAAGGAAGGAAGGAAGGAAGGAAAGAAGGAGGGCGGGCTGCTGGTGGTGTGGGGGGCGAGCCAAGCCCGGCCTAAAACCCCGCCGCCTCGATTGCATTTGGAACAATGGCAAAGTTGGGCTTCGTCTTTACCAAACGAAATTTGCTTACCCAAATGAAAGAATTTATCACGTTAGGAGCGATTTGCAAGGAAAGGAGAGGGGGGGGGGAAGGAAGGAGGGGTGGGGGGAGAGGGAGGGGGGGCCCGGCGGCGGCGGCGGCTGTAATTCACTTACACGGTTACCCTATCCGAAGTCACACCCGAAACCGCCGACAAAATTATCTTAAGCTGCCAAAATGATCGGCGTAATTTATTTACTTTGCGACGGGGACTGGAAAGCGAGGGGGAGTAATTAGATAAGGCGAAGGGAGGGTGATTACTGACGCTGGCGGAGGCGGCCGCGCCGAATTGTTGCTCTCTCCAAAAGCTCCTTCTTCTCCTTCTCCTCCTCCTCCTCATCCTCCTTCTCCTCTTCCTCCTCCTCCTCATCCTCCTTCTCCTCTTCCTCATCATCCTCCTCCTCCTTCTTCTCCTCCTTCTCCTTCTCCTCCTCATTCTTCTCCTCCTCATTCTTCTTCTTCTTCTTCTTCTTCTTCTTCTTCTTCTTCTTCTTCTTCTTCTTCTTCTTCTTCTTCTCCTTCTCCTTCTCCTCCTCTTCCTCTTCCTTCTCCTTCTCCTTCTCCTCTTCCTCCTCTTCCTTCTTCTCCTTCTCCTTCTTTTTCTTCTCCTTCTCCTCATCCTCATCCTCATCCTCCTCTTCCTTCTCCTCCTCCTTCTCCTTCTCCTTCTCCTCTTCCTTCTCCTCATCCTCCTCTTCCTTATTCTTCTTCTCCTCCTTCTCCTTTTCCTCCTCCTCCTCCTCCTTCTTTTTCTTTTTCTTCTTCTTCTCCTCCTCCTCTTCCTCATCCTGGCTCGCTCCCTCGCTTGGAAGGGACCCCCTTTCCCACAACTAGGCCGGCAGAGAAAGAGGCGACGACAGGGTCGCCTCCACGCAAACGCTCCTGGTTTTCAGCCGCTCTCCCGGAAAGATGCGCCGAATCCACAGCCAAGCGCTGGGACGCCGCCTCGGAAGCCCCGGCCCCGGGGTTAAACCCCTCCGGCTGCAGAGCAAGACCTTCTCCCCCCTCCCCCCCGGCAAGGAAGGGCCGACCCTTCCCGGCTCCCGCTTGGTTCCCCCCCCCTCCGATGGACTAGCGCCTCCTCCGGGGCCCGGCCACGGGGCCACTTCGGATTTGGGAAGGGCCAACTTGTTCCCGTCTAAACGCTTCTCTCCCTTCCCCTCTGGGGCTACTTGCCGTCGGAGAAGCGACTCTGGGCTTCGCGGCTTTTGGGGCCCCCGAATAATGGCTGGCAAAACTGGGTTGGAAAAAGGGGGGCGGCGGGGGGAGAAGGAGAGGAACATTTCGAACGATTTTCATCCCCCGCCTCGGCAAAGGCGCGGGGGAGGCTGTTTCCTCCACCGCCCCCTCCTCCGGGTTTGATCAGCGCACTAAGCAAAAATGAAGTTTATATATATATATACTTTGGGGTGGAGGGGGGCATGCCCGCCGTTCCATATAATTAAATTATGAAAATCGCCTCCTATTTAAAAGCGAAGGTAGAATAGAATAGAATAGAATAGAATAGAATAGAATAGAATAGAATAGAATAGAATATGGAATGGGACGGAAATGGAATAGAATATGGAATGGAACGGAACAGAATAGAATATAGAATGCAGTGCAATGGAATGGAATGGAATGGAATAGAAAATGGAATAGAATAGAAAATGGAATAGAAAACGGAATAGAATAGAAAATGGAATAGAAAATGGAATAGAATAGAATAGAAAATGGAATGAAATGAAATGGAATGGAAAATGGAATAGAAGAGAATAGAATAGAAAATGGAATAGAAGAGAATAGAATAGAAAATGGAATAGAATAGAAAATGGAATGGAAAATGGAATAGAAGAGAATAGAATAGAAAACGGAATAGAAAATTTCTAGTAAGTAGTAGAATATGAAAGAAGGAAAACGTAAATAAGAAACAATGGGGCAATAAGGACAAATATTTCAAAGAAGAAAGAGGGGGGAAATGTAAATAATGGAAGAGTACTGTTACAAATTGCTGTTAACAAAAAAGGATACATTATGTGTGTATGTGTGTAACGTTTTGCTGTGTTTTGTTTTGTTGGTCTAAAATAAAAATAAAAAAAGAATAGAAAATGGAATAGAAAATGGATTAGAATAGAAAATGGAATAGAATAGAAAATGGAATAGAATAGAAAATGGAATAGAATAGAATAGAAAATGGAATAGAATAGAAAATGGAATAGAAAATGGATTAGAATAGAAAATGGATTAGAATAGAAAATGGATTAGAATAGAAAATGGAATAGAATAGAAAATGGAATGGAATAGAATAGAAAATGGAATAGAACAGAATAGAAAATGGAATGGAATGGAATGGAAAATGGAATAGAAGAGAATCGAATAGAAAATGGAATAGAAGAGAATAGAATAATAGACAATGGAATAGAAAATGGGATGGGATGGAATGGAATGGAATGGAACAGAATAGAATAGAATTATAGAATAACGAATACAGAATGGAATGGAATGGAATGGAATGGAATGAGAGAGTTAGAAGAGACCTGGGTCCAACCCGCTGCTCAGATAGGAAACCCTATATCAGACAGGTAAATTGAGGCAAAGAAGGCGAACGAAAAAAGGCAAAAGGGGATTCGCACGTCGATCGGGCCCTTTCCTTTCCTTTGCGCGTCGCGAAAGATTCCCCCCCCCAAAAAATGTGAGCCATTCCGCTTGCCGGGAAATTTAAAAGGGGGGGGCTTCCACCCCACCCATCCCCAGCTCAGCCGAGGCTTCTCCGAGCCAACCTAGAAACTGGCCGGGGCCAAAACGCGGCGCCTCCCTCGTCTTTATTAAAGCCCCGACCCTCCCCTTTGCTGAGCGCGCGCGGGCAAGAACGAAAGGGCAGAATTCCCACGTGCATTTTTATTTTATTTTATTTTTTAAAAGTCCTCTCTGGAAAGGGCGCCACGGGGAGAGCGCACGGCCGGGCCTTTAAAGCGGAGCGGGTCGGCCGATGTGTCTCTCTTCTCTTCCCCCCCCTCCCTCCTTCGTTTTTCTGGCCCCGCACATGTCTACCTAACCCGAATTAGACCGTTTTTTTCCTTCTGTGCCACAGAATATAGGTGGGTGCATGGATAATTCTGTATTTATTTTGTCTCCTATTTGTGTAGTGTATATCGGAGGGGGGTGTGTGTGAGACCCCTTTGAGAGCCGTAGGCCAGGAAATGTCATTGTAACGTAGGCCGCTTTAGTGTACATTCAAAGTGACAATAAAGTTGTTGTTCTATTCTCTCTCCCACCCCCACACACCCCCCCCCCCACAATTCCAGTCCCTTACAAGCTCTTCACCGACCATGGCGGCCTGAACGAGAAGCGGAAGCAGCGCAGGATTCGCACCACCTTCACCAGCGCGCAGTTGAAAGAGCTGGAGAGGGTCTTCGCCGAAACCCACTACCCGGATATCTACACCCGCGAGGAGCTGGCCTTGAAGATCGACCTCACCGAAGCGCGAGTGCAGGTAAGGGAAGAAGCGGGGGGGGGGGCGGTTGCTGCGCAGGTTTTGCTTCATTAATAATGAGAAGGAAAAGGAAAAGGAGAAGAGAAAAGGAAAGAAGAAGAAGAGAAGAAGAAGAAGAAGAAGAAGAAGAAGAAGAAGAAGAAGAAGAAGAAGAAGAAGAAGAAGAAGAAGAAGAAGAAGAAGAAGAAGAAGAAGAAGAAGAAGAAGAAGAAGAAGAAGAAGAAGAAGAAGAAGAAGAAGAAGAAACAACAACAGTGGACCACCTGGTAAGCAGTTGCAAGAAGATTGCACAGACTGACTACAAGCAGCGGCATGAGGAAGTAGCAACAATGGTGCATTGGAAGATCTGCAAAAAAATATCATTTGCCTGTAAGCAAAAACTGGTGGGATCATAAAATAGAGAAAGTTATAGAAAATGATAAAATTAAACTGCTCTGGGACTTCAGAATTCAAACAGACAAGCACCTGCAACATAACCACCCCAGACTTAACAATTGTCGATAAGAAAGACAAAAAAGTCTGGATAGTGGACGTGGCAGTGCCTGGAGATAGCAGAATAGAAGAGAAAGAACTGGAGAAGATAACAAAATACAAAGACCTACAAATAGAAATAGAAAGACTGTGGCAAAAGCAAGCAAGGGTAGTGCCAATAGTCATAGGCTCCTTGGGTGCAATCCCAAAACAACTGGAGCACCACTTGAACACCATTGGCATTGACAAATTCGCTATTAGTCAATTGCAAAAGGCAGCCTTACTAGGAACTGCTTCCATCCTGCTACGATATGTGTAATACCATCAAACATCCACATCTCCCTATCCCAGGTCCTGGGCAAGGACTCGATAGGTAGACAAAATGCCAAATCCAGTCTGAACATCTGGCTGACTGTGTGATGATCCATAATAATAATAATCATAATCATAATCATAATCATAATCATAATCATAATAATCATAATAATCATAATAATACAGGAAACCAGAAGTTGCCTTGAAGCTTTAACGTTTTTATTCAGCTGAACAAAGACGGGCTCCTCTAAAAAAAAAAGAGAGAGAGAGAGAGAGAGAAAAAAAAGCCCCAAATATCGGGAAAACCTTCTTTTTATACCTTCTTTGATGACAATAAGCAATTCACCCAGCAAAGCTGACAGGCATAAGATCAAGATTTCACCCAGTAAGTCTGAACACGCTGTAGATAAGAAGGGAGAAAGCAGAAGGAGCTAAAAAATGTTCCTTTTGGGGGGTTCCCCTGTTGTTGTTGTTAGTTGCAAAATCGTGTCCAGCCCGTCTCGACCACGTTCCTCCAGGCCTTCCTGTCCTCTACCATCTTCTGGAGTCCATTGAAGTTCACACCTACTGCTTCAGTGACTCCATCCAGCCACCTCATTCTCTGTCGTCTCCTTCTTCTCTTGCCCTCCATCTTCCCCAGCATCAGGCTCTTCTCCAGTGAGTCCTTCCTTCTCATGAGGTGGCCAAAGTACTTGAGTTTCAACTTCAGGATCTGGCCTTCTAAAGAGTAGTCGGGGTGGATCTCCTGTAGGACTGACAGGTTGGATCGTCTTGCAGTCCAGGGGACTCGCAGGAGTCTTTTCCAGCACCAGAGTTCAAAGGCCTCCATTCTTTGGCGCTCAGCCTTTCTTATGGTTCAACTTTCACAGCCATACCTTGCAACTGGGAAAACCGTGGCCTCGGCTATACGCACTTTTGTTGGCAGGGTGATGTCTCTGCTTTTTAGTATGCTGTCTAGATTTGCCATACTTTCCTCCCCAGGAGCAAGCGTCTTTTAATTTCTTGGCTGCAGTCCCCATCTGGGGTGATCTTGGAGCCCAGGAAGATAAAATCTGTCACTTCCCTTAAAGACACCTTACGTTCCCGGGTGGGTTAGGACATGGGGTGTTTTCCTTGCTGTCCATCCATGACTCTGCAAGCGCCCAAAGACAGCAGGGCCATCTGCACACATATTCACAATTGACACTTCCTATGTGGTCTCCTAATTCCGGGTCAACCGGGTGGGGGGCTCCGTCTGAGCGGGGGGGGGGGAGAGCCAGGACGCGTGGAGGACGGCTATCTGGCTTAAAGCTAAAGCTATAAGAAAATCTTTATTTGATTTTATTTTTTAAGCTGGCTGATTGTAACTCTGGGCTAACCCACCCTCAGTTCTGCCCAGCCGAACTGCTTGCTGCCTTGTCAAAAAAAAATACAGATTTATTTTGCCGTTGTCTTTTTTTCTTCTTGCCCCAACAATATTATTATTATTACTGGGGACATTTGGGGGTTGATCTCCCAGTGGAAGGAGAAGCTAAATTTAATCAGCTTTTTTGCGGGGGGGGGGAGAAGGAATTCCACATGCTGCCATTTGGAAGTGAAATTATTTTGCAGAAGCAATGGCTCCGCTTTGGCCTGGTCTAGTTCTTTTGATTTAGAATCGTATCTTGCTTTTTTTTTGTTGGCCCCGGGGATAAATTATATCAATTGCACAGGGACGTCTTTCCGGGAAAGGCATAACCTCAATATTCCGGGGAGGGTTTCCAAGGTTAGGAATTGTGAGCCTGGGTGTCATTCCTCCCCCCTTCCCCCCTCCCAATTCTTGACCTCAAGTCCTGTAATCTGCTTTGGTTTGAGATGTCAGCCATTCCTTTAAGGAGCAATTCGGTTATTCCGAAAGAGGAAAGGTCTGAAAGCGAAGCGCGCGCGTGCGCGCGCACAGCAAAATACATTCTACATAGGAACAGGAATTTATTCCTGATTTTTTAAAATTTTTATTTACTTTGCTGAAGCAAAAAAAAAAAAAAACTCTCTTAAGCATCCTTTGGCAGGCCCGGATTTATCAGCCCGGCATATTTGAATTGCAAATTCGATATGTCATTTTTAAAGTGTTTCCAAAGAAAAGAAAGAAAGAAAGAAAGAAAGAAAGAAAGAAAGAAAGAAAGAAAGAAAGAAAGAAAGAAAGATGGGTCTTTTCAACTGCTAAATCCTGCCCACACTTGGTACACCTAAATACTATCCAAATTCATTTCCAGCACCAGCTGCGCATGCTTCCCCCTCTGCATAGATCGGGCAAGTGTTTATGCGGCCGTCATAAACACGAGTCAGTTGCCAAACGACTAAATTTGGACGGTTGTAAATTGAGGACTCTTATGAACCTTTATATCAATTATATTTATTAAATGTATGTATGTATGTATGTATGTATGTATTCAGATTTCTTTTTGCTGACAAAGAGTTAGAAACTAACTTTTTGCTGACAACGATTTAGTGGGAGACTAGTATAGCTATTTCAGGGCTCATTAGCCCTCATCAGCTAGCCACACTCTTTATGGGATTCAAACCTAAGCAGTTTACATGCTAGGCAGTTGTATTAACCACCAGGCCACCGGCTCTCCTCCCCTCTTTGTCAGCCGAGTCAAGGGAGTATATACAGAAAGTTTTTCAGACAGACCGCAGTATAGCAGTCAAAAAAATGCCAAGGTGCAATCAATCAGACTGGTCTGTCTGAAAAACTTTCTGTATATATAAAGTCGCTACGGCGATAAACTATTTCTGTGTTAAATTTAGATTTTGCCAACAAAGAATTAAAGGGAGACTAGTATAGCTATTTCGAGCTATTTAGCTCTCATCAGCTAGCCATACCCTTCTGAGATTCGAATCTGGGCCACTTTGCAGGTTCGAATCTCAGAAGGGTCTGGCTAGCTGGTGAGAGCTAAATAGCTCGAAATAGCTATACTAGTCTCCCTTTAATTCTTTGTTGGCAAAATCTAAATTTCACACACACACACACACACCAGAGTAGGTAAAAAGAGAACTGGCTGGGTGATTTTGGGCCAATCCTTCTTTCTCACTCTCAGCCTACCTCACAGGACTGTTGTCGTGGTGGGGTTAAAAAAATATAGGAGGAGGACGGAGTATTAGTTATGTTTGCTGCCCCGGGTGATGTGTAAAAAAAAATAACAATAAAGGTGGGATTTAAAACACAATCTAAATAAATAAACGTGAGGTATCCTAGTTCTTCTCTGGGGACGTTTTTTAAATTGGGAATTTACAGCCCGTTTTTAATCTATCGAAGTTCAGTGAAGGCTTTTTTCCTCGGGGGGGGGGGGGGGACTGGAGACTTTCCTCCGACACAAAAAAAATAGTCTACAATCTTTTGCAAAGGAATTATTTGCATTCATCAGCAGCGGCACTATTTGTGACAAAGAAATCCTGCCGTTATATCCTTTATGTATTGAACTCGCTTTAGCACAAGTGATATCCCCCCTCCCTTTGTCTTTGTCTCCTTCAATTTCTCAAGGTGATTGGGGGGGGCAGTTGGCGATGGTGAAATAAAGCAGCTTTTAGATCACCCAGACGCCTTCCAGAGGCATCGGGACTTGAAGTCCTGCGATTTCCCCCCCCCCCCCGCGCAGTTTAAGCCGGGATACGACTGGACACGCTGTATGAATGCACTTATTTTATTGTTTTATCGTTATATTTATTGTTTTAATTTTATACACCGCCCTGAGTCCCTAGGGATCGGGCGGCATATAAATTTTATTGATAAATAAATAATAAAGTAAATAAATTAAAAAACAAACAAACACCAACCTCTGCAAATCTAGGAAATTATTTTAGACTTTCGAGTCGAGTCGAGAAAGCTATTTCTTAAGGCATCTCCTGAACTCAGGACCAGGCAAATACGCCTTTTGTTAACCCAATGCAGAAATAGTTTTTATGCTTTTCCTTCAAAACTTTTGAGTGAGGCTGGGAACCCCCCCCCCCAAAAAAATCCTAACCACCTATTCTAGGACAACCTTAGTGGCTGGGAGATCCGCTTTCGATCTGTTATTATAGTTCAGATCCAAATTCAAATGTCTACGCAGATTCTCAGCCGTCGTCCAGGTGAGGGCTGTCCCAAAGATGCTTTTTTTTTTCTTTCTCAGGGAGCAACTGGATTTTCTTGTTTTTCGTTTGAAGAAAATGGTGTGTTTTTTTTCTTTCTTTTTCTGAAAAGTCAGAGCCGAAGAAGCTTCTTGGGATGAGAAGCGAAAGGACTTCAAAGGAATAACAAGAAAGTCCTGTAAAAAAAAGGGACAATCGAAATTTACATTAATCGTTTGGAAAGAAGGAAACCGAGATTCTGACCCAAGTAAAATCCTTGGGAAAGGCAGAGAGGACAGACCCTTTAAAACCTCCCCGGAAGTCGATCCCGGAGCAAGAACCGTTTTTCCAGGCTCCCGTTGCGCGGGTGTCCGAGGCGGCCCGAACTCGGAAGAAAGGGAAACGTCGGAACCTGGGCGTCCGACCCGCGTCTTTGCAAGCTTCCCGACGGGCAGGGGAGAGACTCGGAAGAAAGGGAAGCGTCGGAACCTGGGCGTCCGACACGCGTCTTTGCAGCTTCCCGACGGGCAGGGGAGAGACTCGGAAGAAAGGGAAGCGTCAGAACTTGGGCGTCCGACCCGCGTCTTTGCAGCTTCCCGACGGGCAGGGGAGAGACTCGGAAGAAAGGGAAGCGTCGGAATCTGGGCGTCCGACCCGCGTCTTTGCAAGCTTCCCGACGGGCAGGGGAGAGACTCGGAAGAAAGGGAAGCGTCGGAACCTGGGCGTCCGACCCGGGTCTTTGCAGCTTTCCGACGGGCAGGGGAGAGACTCGAAAGAAAGGGAAGCGTCAGAACTTGGGCGTCCGACCCGCGTCTTTGCAGCTTCCCGACGGGCAGGGGAGAGACTCGGAAGAAAGGGAAGCGTCGGAATCTGGGCGTCCGACCCGCGTCTTTGCAAGCTTCCCGACGGGCAGGGGAGAGACTCGGAAGAAAGGGAAGCGTCGGAACCTGGGCGTCCGACCCGGGTCTTTGCAGCTTTCCGACGGGCAGGGGAGAGACTCGAAAGAAAGGGAAGCGTCGGAACCTGGGCGTCCGACACGCGTCTTTGCAGCTTTCCGACGGGCAGGGGAGAGACTCGGAAGAAAGGGAAGCGTCGGAACCTGGGCGTACGACACGCGTCTTTGCAAGCTTCCCGACGGGCAGGGGAGAGACTGGGAAGAAATGGAAGCGTCGGAACCTGGGCATCCGACACGCGTCTTTGCAGCTTCCGGACGGGCAGGGGAGAGACTCGGAAGAAAGGGAAGCGTCGGAACCAGGGCGTCCGACCCGCGTCTTTGCAAGCTTCCCGACGGGCAGGGGAAAGACTCGGAAGAAAGGGAAGCGTCGGAACCTGGGCGTCCGACCCGCGTCTTTGCAAGCTTCCCGACGGGCAGGGGAGAGACTGGGAAGAAAGGGAAGCGTCGGAACCTGGGCATCCGACACGCGTCTTTGCAGCTTCCGGACGGGCAGGGGAGAGACTCGGAAGAAAGGGAAGCGTCAGAACTTGGGCGTCCGACCCGCGTCTTTGCAGCTTCCCGACGGGCAGGGGAGAGACTCGGAAGAAAGGGAAGCGTCGGAACCTGGGCGTACGACACGCGTCTTTGCAAGCTTCCCGACGGGCAGGGGAGAGACTGGGAAGAAATGGAAGCGTCGGAACCTGGGCATCCGACACGCGTCTTTGCAGCTTCCGGACGGGCAGGGGAGAGACTCGGAAGAAAGGGAAGCGTCGGAACCAGGGCGTCCGACCCGCGTCTTTGCAAGCTTCCCGACGGGCAGGGGAAAGACTCGGAAGAAAGGGAAGCGTCGGAACCTGGGCGTCCGACCCGCGTCTTTGCAAGCTTCCCGACGGGCAGGGGAGAGACTGGGAAGAAAGGGAAGCGTCGGAACCTGGGCGTCCGACCCGCATGGGGGGAGAGAAGGGGGGAGGGAGACCCCCGAGGCGGCCGGGTGGAGGTGGGGAAGGGACGACGGCGCTGGGGAAGCCGCGTCTGGACTAACCGGGACGGCGCTCCCTTCTCTTTCTGCCTCCAGGTCTGGTTCCAGAACCGGCGAGCCAAGTTCCGCAAGCAGGAGCGGGCGGCGGCGGCGGCGGCGGCGGCGGCCAAGAACGGCCCGTCCGGGAAGAAACCGGACCCGTCGCGGGACGATGAGAGCAAAGAGGCCAAGAGCACCGATCCGGACAGCACCGGCGGGCCGGGTCCCAACCCCAACCCGGCGCCCAGTTGCGGCGGGGGCGGCGGGCCCAGCCCTGCCGGGGGCCAGGGCGGTGCCGGAGCTGGCGGGCCCGGTCCGGAGGGGAGCAAAGGCGCCGCGCCCCCCGGCTTGGGCGCAGCGGGGCCCGGGCAGGGCTGGGCTGCGGGGCCGGGCTCGCTCGCCTCCATCCCGGATTCCTTAGGCGGGCCCTTCGCCAGCGTCCTCTCCTCCTTGCAGAGACCCAACGGCACCAAAGGCACCTTGGTGAAGAGCGGCATGTTTTGAGGGGTGGGCGGCGGGGCCGGCCTCCCACCCCCCCCCCCACAACCCCCCACCCCACCCAGACAGCCAGCCTGGACGCCCCCACCGGGATGCGCCCTGCGCCCGGCCACGCGCCCCGGCGCCTTTCCACCAAGGCTCCAAGCTGGGCTGTGTGTGTGTGTGTGTGTGTGTGTGTGTGTGTGTGTCCTGAGACCCCGGCAACCTTTCGCCCAGGCTGGGGTGGGGGGTCTCTGTCCGCCGCCGCCTCCCCCTCCCCTCGCAGGTTGGCCAAAAGTGAAATGGCCACAAGCTGGCGCAACTTTTTGCAAAGTTAACTTTCCTCCCTCTCCTTCTCCCCCCCCAGAACTCACCCACCCACCCACCCACCCCCCTCCTCCGGGTCAGGCCGCGTCGCTCTGCCGAAGGGGGGGGGGCGTTCCTTCTTCTCCGCAGATCGACCCCTCCCCCTCTCCGCCGTGGGGAGTGGGCGCCCGTCTCGGCGGCCCAAACGTCCCCCCCCCCGGGGTCTTGGCCGAGCGCGGACCGTTTTTCCCTTCGCACACTCTTGGGGGGGGTGGGGGGGATGCGGGATCAGTCCTGTGGGGTCCTTCGGTCTTCTCCGAGCGGGCTGGTTTCCTTGCAGACCTCTCGCTGCCCAACTAGGGAACATCATCAGGGCTAGGCGCTGCGCTAAGAGTCCTGCACCAAAGCCTGAGGGTGAGGATGAAAAGGCGCTGGGTCAGTGGAACAGCCTGCCTCCAGAAATCGTGGGCGCTCCATCACTGGAGATTTTTTAAAGAAGAGACTAGACAGTCATTTGTCTGAAATGCCTGAGCAGGGGGATGGACTAGAAGACCTCCAAGGTCCCTTCCAGCTTCTATTCTAGTCTCTATTCCTTCCTTCCTTCTCCTTTTCCTTTCCCTTTTTCTTCCTTCCTTCCTTCCTTCCTTCGGAACAGCTTTGCATCCAGAAATTGTGGGCACTCCATCACTGGAGATTTTTTTTAAGAGACAGTCACTTGTCTGAGATGGTCTAGGACTCTAGGTTCTTCTGCTTGAGCAGGGGGCTGGACTAGAAGACCTCCAAGGTCCCTTTCAGCTTCTGTTCTAGTCTCTATTCCTTCCTTCCTTCCTTCCTTCCTTCCTTCCTTCCTTCCTTCCTTCCTTCCTTCCTTCCTTCCTTCCTTCCTTCCTTCCTTCCTTCCTGTGGAACAGAAGTTGCCTTCAGAAATCGCAGCCGCTCCATCACTGGAGATTTTTAAGAAGGGACTAGTAGACAGTCACTTGTCTGAGATGGTATAGGTTCTCTTGCTCGAGCAGGGGGCTGGACTAGAAGACCTCCAAGGCCCCTTCCAGATTCTATTCTATTCTACTATTCATGAAAACCATCCTGTAGTAAGGTTTCTTACGTTTCACCAGCTCAGAGAGTACCCCATGAGCTACAGATCTTCTCTTCTAGGACAGTGGTTCTCAACCTTTCTAATGCCGTGACCCCCCAACCGGTTGTAAGTCAAGGACTACTCAACCGGTCGTAAGTCGAGGACTACTCAACTGGTGCAGCACCGTTTGCGGAATGGGACTTTTGGCGGGCTCAGCAGGGCAGAGACAGCCTGGACAATTCCTATTGGCTTTTGAAAGCCAATAGAATTAGACTCTATTCAAGAGAGTCTGTTCTATTGGCTTTCGAAAGCCAATAGAATAAAAGGGAGTAGCACAGCTAAGGAAAAGGGGGGAAAAATGGCGGACTGCGTTGTTTGGCGACCCCCGTGAAATGGTCGTTCGACCCCAAATGGGGTCCCGACCCACAGGTTGAGAACCACTGGGCTAGGAGTACCAATTCTGGGCTTGCACATCCACCCCCTGGCCGCTAGAGGGCAGACTCGTGAGGGCTGAATTCTTGTGCTTTGCTGCCCCTAGTGGCAAGGGAAGTCCTGACTTTGCTCTCTGCTGAGCAGGAAAGATAATTCTTGGTAGGGTTTTCGTTTTCGAAGGAATGCACATCCCAGGCTGTGCAAAGACGGCACATTTTTCATGACAGGGTCTCCTTTTCCACGCGAGGGATCGGTAGCCAATGGCGGCATCAACTGGCTGGGGCTACGGGCCGTATTCAGGAAGGCAAATGACATATTTTTTTGGCAAATGGGGATGACTGGTGGATGCTACAAAAAGTGGTCCCCATCGCTTGGGTGGAAATAGCCCAGGACTTGAGCCTAGAGCAGAGGTCCACAACCTTGCCCCTTTTAAGACTTGTGGACTTCAACTCCCAGATTTCCTCAGCTCCCAGAATCACCACCTGTGGACTTCAACTCTCAGAATTCTTCAGCTACCGTAGCTGGCTGAGGAATTCTGGGAGTTGAAGTCCACAAGTCTTAAAGTGGCCAACGTTGAGGACTCTTGGCCTAGAGAACAGGTTGACTAGAGGACAAGCAGCCCCACCAAGCCATAAGGTCTGACCTATTTTCAAGTGGAAGATTAGACCTTAGAGCAGTGTTTCTCAACCGTGACCATTTTAAGGCATGTGGACTTCAACTCCCAGAATTCCACAGCCAGCATTGCTGGCTGTGGAATTCTGGGAGTTGAAGTCCACATGCCTTAAAATGGTCAAGGTTGAGAAACACTGCCTTAGAGGCTACTTAAAACTAAAAATGTAGCCTCTGAGGTTTTTTTCCTAAAGCTTGAAAGAGTCCCTTGTTTCACTTTGTTTTAACCCATTTGCTAATGAATGTAGACTTTTTTTTTTTTTTAAGCAATTTGGAAAAAATTCTATAGGCCCCTGCAGGACCTAATTGCACAATTCCGTGATGTGAACTTAAAAAAAGAGAACCCCTTTAATGGAGTCTGTTCCCCAGAAAGTGGGTTTAGGAAAAGAGGCAGATTAGGAAGGGCAATTTGTGTTTTTCAGAGGGCAGAGAAGAAGTCTGAGACACCGGGCCTGATGATAAATGTGACATTTCCTGGGTTTTTTTTTTATGTATCCAAGAAGAATCTCTTTGCATATTCCAATGAAATTAGCTCAACTCCTTTGATCTGCAAAAGTCCCCAGATGTGGCTCAGACACCCTTGGGAAAGTTGAAAGTCAAATAGTTCATTCTTGCGCTCACAATGAACAATGTAGGCATTCACCGCATCCTATGAAGCAGGGTGATTTATGGCAGGGATAGCCAACCTTCAACTCCCAGGATTCCTCAATCAAATATGGTGGCTGAAGAATTCTGGGAGTTGAAGACCACAGCTGGTGATTTATAGCAACAATATCCAATCTTGGCAATTTTAAGATCTGTGGACTTCAAATCCCAGAATTCCTCAGCCAACCATGGTGGCTGAAGAATTCTGGGAGTTGAAGTCCACAGCTGGTGATTCATAGTCAGAGGTCTCCCACCTTGGCAATTTTAAGACTTGTGGACTTCAACTCCCAGAATTCCTCAGCCAGCCATGGTGGCTGAAGGATTCTGGGAGTTGAAGTCCACAGCTGGTGATTCATAGTTGGAGGTCTCCAACCTTTGCAATTTTAAGACCTGTGGACTTCAACTCCCAGAATTCCTCAGCTAGCCATGGTGGCTGAAGGATTCTTGGAGTTGAAGTCCACAGCTGGTGATTCATAGTCGGAGGTCTCCAACCTTGGCATTTTTAGGAACTGTGGACTTCAACTCCCAGAATTCCTCAGCCAGCCATGGTGGCTGAAGGATTCTGGGAGTTGAAGTCCACAGCTGGTGATTCATAGTCGGAGGTCTCCAACCTTTGCAATTTTAAGACCTGTGGATTTCAAATCCCAGAATTCCTCAGCCAGCCATGGTGGCTGAAGGATTCTGGGAGTTGAAGTCCACAGCTGGTGATTCATAGTTGGAGGTCTCCAACCTTTGCAATTTTAAGACCTGTGGACTTCATATCCCAGAATTCCTCAACCAGCCATGGTGGCTGAGGAATTCTGGGAGTTGAAGTCCACAGGTCTTAAAGTTGCCAAGGTTGGAGACTCTTGCTTTGTAGAGTGTCTAAGTCCTGAAGAAACAGCCAACTACGGTGGGACTTTTCTATGACCTGCGCACTTCCGTCGTGCTCAAGGGTCCCCATTCAGCCATTAAGCACACAGCACAGAAAATCCCACAATGGATGGATGAACAGCACTTGAACCCTTTCTGTCTCCCTCAAAGAACGCTAAAGTGAATTTGCCTGGACCATTAAACAGAAGAAATCCTGTTATTATTGCTTTTATTGATCAGCTTTTTTTTTTTAAAAAAAAAAACCAAACAAACACACATCCGTGCCCTCTTTCTACCAGAGCGTCTCGCAAGCCCACCAAAACGGTGTACTTAATAGACAGAGAGCTGTTTACATAAGGAGCACCAACTCTCTTGTCGCAAATGGTCTACAGCCCAGCGCGGTTCCTTTCCGGTTAATGGATTGTGTTCGTTGTCAAGATTGCGATGACATTGTCCACGCTGTTTTTTTTTTTTTTAGCCCGCCCTGATGAAGGTTTTTAAAACACTTTTCTTTTCAAAGGCACAAGACCCTAAGAGATTTATGTTTTGTCCACCGGTATGCTTTTAAAATATTCATTTCTGTGTCTTTCCAACCACCGTGTTACGTGACTCAATTGTATAGTGTGAATATCGATACAAACTTGTCTATTCTAATTAGACGTATAAATAACGTTTTCGCTCCTTGTAGTCTTTAATGGTGTGTCTTTATGGAAAATATGAGGTTTTGATGAGTTTACCTTTTGGGTTCTTTTGCATTTTAGATTGGCCTCAGGCACTGGTTATCGGTGGCCCGGGGCTCGTTTTTCTAATTTTCCTTTATTTTTATTTTTCCAGATCCCTTTGTGAGCGTTAACTGTCATAACTTATGTTTTCAGGAACTCCGGATTTATTTATATGTGGTTACGATGAATGCTTCTATTTAAAAGGGGAAATATTTCTACATGTGCATATAGTTTTACAAGAGTGTACCATTAACTGATTGTTGATAATAAAAAGGAAAAGGAAATACGAGCCCATATCGTTCTCTTGGTCTCATTTACTTTGTGCC